GGGAAAATGTCCACAATAGCTGACCACTTTATAATTTACCGTAGCTGAAAGTAGCAGCTTATACAGTTGAAAATTTTAAGTTTAGGGAGATTTTTCCAATCTACTTTGTAAAAACCTTGTGAGAAAAGATTATAAAAAGTATACCAGTAACAAATGAAAGTATCACCAACTTAAAAACATACAAAATTCTGATGATATATGAATTGAGTAGCAATTGCATTCACATAATAGAAATAATTGAACAAATGTCACCTTGTCCAAGTCTGCCATGATGTTCTTTATTTTTTGTCCAGCATTGCCTCCTTTCCTTCGGAAAGCTCTCATTAGCTGCAAGGAGTGGTGATCTAGCTGCTGCATGAATTTGGATCTCAGTGGCACAGTGGTGATGCGCGCAAACTCTGCTTCCACCTGCAATTATTTAATAACAACAGTGTAAAATATTTTTAAAAGTGTTCTGTGGACCACAGCAATAGGATAATGACAGCAATGAAACGCTTTCTTATTTCTTGATGCATTTGAGTTAAAACAAATAAACAGGACTGAAGTGTTGCTCATTCTTAACTTCCAAGTTTTTAGAAAATAACTTCCAGTTCTGGGTGAAAATTAAGACTTTAACCCTTTACAAAAAATAAGAGTTTTTTTTTAAAAAATGCAGTCATCAACACAATGTAATGATTACTGACCTCATGCTCAGAAAAGAGTGCTGGCCACCTTCTTTTGAAATCGGCAATGAAAGGCTTGTCTTCAATCACCTCACGCCTCCTGTAAGCAAAGGTCCTTTCCATTTTCTCCTTAACCGTCTGTTGGTTGTTGCTCTTCTGCACATCAGTCAATAGTTCCAACCGCTTTTGCTCTAAGCTTTCTTTGGTTTGTCCTGTTGGGAAGTCTGGACAGTAGTTCACCTCTGCTCTTTTAGGTTTCTTCACTTGATTTGGAGCTGTGCGTGGCTCACTCAGTCCACGCTTGAAGGAATTGACATTCAGCTCTGAACATCCAAGGTTTCTCAACTTAGTACGGTAGTTTGCCATTTTATATTTCAAACTTATTTTCCACCCATAGAAGCCAGAAACAGAGCCTTGCTCCCTTAAACATGGGTGTTTCTTCACTAGTGCTTCAGCAACAGCATCAAATTCAGAACTTGAGGGATAAGCTTTATATTTAATGATTTGTGACACCAGACTTTCAAGAATGTCAGACTTCATTCTTGGACTGGGACTGAAAAGGGTATGGTTACTTTCAAAGTCACCATTTGCATGCTTGAGTTGGAGTTCTACATCATAGACAAACTCAGGCACAGGAAAGAAGTTGGGCCATGGTTCGCACCTGAGGAACGATGATGATGATGATGATGTTGATGACTCCGAAGATGAAAGAATGTCAGTGTCCACAGATGAAGTTGACTCATCTAGGCTGGATGTCTGAGGATCGAAGGAGTTGCTTGTAGACGAAGCACCAGGGTGGTATACTACTTTAAGTGTAGCCTTGTTTTTAATGACGGAGGTGTATGTCAGGTTTATGAAGTCATCAAAATCTGTGTCCTTGTACTGTAATCTGAATTCTCCCAACACCTCACACTGTCTCTGAATCTCATTTTTAAGTTCCTCAACAGAGTCAGGTATTCCCAAAGGCAGGGTAACTTTGGCAAAATCATTTTCTCCAAGAATGATGCGAAGAACTGCTGAGGTCTCCATACTGGTCAATGGGTTATTCTGAAGAAAAAGAAAATTATACAAGGCAACTATAGTTAATACAATTCTATTAAATGAAGAATAACAATTTTATTGTCCACAGTGACTGCAGAGAAATTCAGTAGAACTGCAGCAAAATGTTTAAAAGTAAATGAGCAAAACTGTAAAAGTTTAACTTAAACTCACTTAGAAAACACATTTAAGAGTAGGTTTTGTTGCATTTAAAATAGTACCTGTTGGTGTAAAATCAATTAAGCAGAGTGCCTATTCCACTCTCACGCTTAAAAAAAAGAGATTCAGTCATGTAAAAAAAATTAATAAAAATTACCAAATATGTGTATGTATCTTTTAAGGGTAACCATTCGAAGTGTTCCACACTTGTAGTCAGCCAGGGGATAGATGTCAGTCAGTTCATTTAAGTCAGCCAACACAATCTCTCTCAATGGTGATGACTGGAGCTCAAAAGCTCTGTAGTGTTCTCTGTACCATGAAGCCAAGTTTTTGCATATGAAAATCAATGTGTTCTCCAATATACACATTTGAAGTATTTCTGCAAACTCTGGCAGTCCACCAACTGATCCATGCACAATAATCATTCCGTTTTTGTACTCAACGCCATTACTGGAGACACTCTGTGCCAATGTAACCGTTGTGAGGTCAGGGTATTTCTGAGTTAGTTTAAGTGCTATGTCATCTTTCATAATATCCTTTGGGATTGTTGAGACATGTGTCACTTCAAAGGCTGGTCTCACATAGCTGCTAGTGTGCAAATGATAACCTATCATCAGCTGATGCTTATTTGCCAAGGACAGTGTAATGTTCTTAAAACACTTTGAATGTCTGACAACCTGTTTGAAATAACTGTGTTTGGCCTCAAAACGCATAGTCCAAAACATCACAATGGGGCCGAACAGCTTTATCATTTCTGGATAATGTTCCAGAAAGTGGTGTTTTGGCAGGAGCCCATGATCTGGGAATACTTCCTTGTAACACTGTCTGTGCTCTGAGATTTTAAACTCTAAATATGCTACTGATTCGTCACTGTGGACAGGTGCCACAACAAGCTCTACAATGTCTTTTAAGTTCAAAATTACTTTCCAAGCTGGCTCATCTTCAGGGATCAACTGCCCAATCATTAATGGTAACAACCTTAACAAACACCAATTTTCATGGGCGTTGCCACCGATTGTTTTGCGACGTGCAAAAGTAAGTGGCACCAAATGAGGCCGGGCTTTTTTGTCACTCCACTTGTATTCAAAGTTTTTTATGGTTTTATTAAGATCTTCAAGTTTAAACAACTTCTTGGAAATTAGCACACCAAAGCACTGTGCAAGCTCAACAGGGACAATGCCCTCGAAAAGATCATGGACAATATCGGGGGGGTATCCCGATGTGACACAGAAGTGAGAAAGTGTCTCTGTAAAAATGCAGGCTTTTTTAACACCAAAAGCACTACCTCCTTTCACCTGTGCAGCATTTACGTGGACCTGATGAAGTTCTTTGTTTCTTGCTGTAAAAGCACCTGACTTGACTTCTTTCACCTGAGTATCTTGTCGCTGAGCTGTGCAAAACCTACAAAAGAACTGACCTGAGAAACTTTCCACAAAGCCAGCTATTCCATGTGCCGCAAGGTTGTCTGACACAACACATTGAAGCGTCCCCTTTACAAATGTACCCAACTGTGAGATAAAAACGCCCTGGTTCTCGAGAGCAACAAGATCTTTGAGTAGTGGCTCAAAAATTTTTGAATAGCCGTAAGTCTTCACGTCATCAGTTTTACATAAAAGAGCAAGGTATATCGAGGACAAAGTGGAATTGCTGCCAGGAGGCAAATTTCCCAAAATCCAATAGACAGCACAGAGTTTGTGTGTTTTACGTGATGTTCCAAGTGGGTTGCAAACTTCAAAGTCATCTACATAAAGACAGATTGAGATTCTCAATTCCTCCCCTGAGAGAAAAGCATTATTCTTGTAATACTGACCGTCTTCAAAAAATCTGTACTTTAGGTGGTCACTCACTATCTGCTGCTGTCTCCTCCTTTCTACAACCTTGATGAACACATTCGTTTGATTAAGTAGCTGATGCAGGATCATTAGCAAAGGAACATACTGAAAGCTTCTTTTAGCCTTAGCATCAAGTACGTACTGAACTGGATCAACAATATTGAAATTATGTTTGTAGTACTGCTTCCTTTTAAAAGATGTGGCTAATAATCCCTCCTTTCCTAAACACTTTGAGAAAGGGTTTGATGAACCAAGTGCACAGCCTAACTCTTTGATGAGCAACTGATCAAGTTGCAGGTTATGGTTATTGAAGAAATCTACTAGAATGTTGTGAGATATGGGCACCAGAGCAGAACCTAACAAATAGTGCAACTCACTTAGTAGCTGATCAACAGCAGCGCTTGGTACGTGGAAACAATTTTCTAATTTCAATAAAATTAATGCCAATTTCTGTTCCACAACTTTGTGCAAGTCCTCTTTTTCTGGCACTAATGAATAATCTTCATGATCAGCATCATAAAGAAACTCATCACTTTGTGTCAAATGTGTATCTCTGGAAGAACAACTTGGTGAGTCTTTAGAATCCCTTTTCACAATTCCAGCTTTGAAATCATTAAGTGTAAAAGTGCAGTGCTTTCTATTTTTATGAGTTTGATAAGTTCCATATATATTTGTTTTAAAGGAACAATTATTAAACACACAGTAGATAGTTTCGTGTCTCTTAAGATGGCTGTTAATATGAATAAAAAGTTCTCTCAATGAGGCAATGCCACTGCGTGAACAATGATGGCAGCTAAATGTTGTGGAATCTACTGATCTCTGAGATGTCTGATCAACATGTGATCTACATAGGTGACTTCGGAGAGCATTCCAAGTTTTAAAAGTGCATGGACATTTTAAATATGTGCATGGATAAGGGTGTCTGCGACCAAAGTGGCCATGCTTTAACCTGTAGTGCCTCAATAACAGAGATCTTGTAGTTTCTTGTGCATCACACTCTTTACACTTCCACATTCATATTACTGAAATTAAAACAAACAAAACAACTACATGACATATTTAACTTTAAATATCCTTATGGAAATTGTTAAAAGCTCTACCACACTTGAACATTTTAGACAATTTGTGCTAACTTATGAAAAAAGTTTTTAAGTCTAAATTACTAATAAGTTATATATTTGATACATTTGTTAGCATAACATTATGTGCACACCTAAAAGAGGCTTCCAGTTGGTTTTTTATACTTCTATCTTGGTAAATGGGACTGTACTTATATAGCAACTTTCTATCTTATCGAGATACTCAAAGTGCTTTACACTACAATCTGTGTCCTCATTTACCCGTTCATACAGCTCTACTAGATCTCTACAAAGCTAATTGAACAAATCATTCTAAAGAGACCAATCAGTGCTTTATCACATTCATACACCGATGAGACACACATCGGAGACAATGAGGGGTTCAGTGCCTTGCCCAGGGACATTTCGGCATGTGACTGCTAGGGGAGTTGAACCCCCAACTCTTGCGTTGGAGGACGACTGCTCTAACCACTCAGACACAGCAGCCCTATCTTCAATGTAGATATCTCCTAAATTTTCACAAGTTGGCATAAGTTGTCTAAAACATTCAAGTGTGAGAGGGCCGTATAAGACACATTCATTATGATGTTTAAGATGAATAGATAAATGAATAAGTCATTTAATGGTGATGGATTTTACTTACGTCAAGCGTCACCATTAAAGGGAATTGTGCCTGCCCAGTCTTCAAGCTTGAAGATGCTTTTCCAAACAGGGATTTCCTGTAATTAACATATTAACCAGACTTGTGGTTATAAATTATAAAATTAAGAAAAAACTATTTTAGTTTTACAGTTCTAATTACATTAAACATGAGAACAACAACTTGTTCATTACATGTCAAGCTCAGAAATGTGTGTGGGTCCGAGTACCATCACAGTAGGCTATTAATTTGCAGACTGTTGAAACAGTATATGAGTTGAAAAGTTTCATGGAGGCTTACTATCAGCTCAGCTGTGCAGATATATTCAACTAGTGTGGTTTATTTAAGACAGGATGCTGTTAAACCTTAAAATCTTAAGTCTAAAGCACAATGCTATGAACAGAAAGCAACACTAAAAAATAAATACCCTGTATGATAGCATATGAAAGCAGTTACATTTTTTTGTAATTTCTCAAACTAAATTTCTTTAGGGAAAGTTTTAAGACTGCTCCTCTCATAAACATTCAGAGAGAAAAAAGGTTTTTTTTTTCCAACTGCATGGGCGACAAAGGAGAATTGTTAACTGACCAGATAGGCATGTCATGGCATTGCCTAATAACGGTAAGAAGAGAAACACCGCATTGTGTAAAAGAAAAAGCACTGTTATATTTAAACTTGAGAAAAAAAATGTTGTTGTTGTTACATTAATTTAAAAGTTACCATTGATGGCTTCAGACCAAAACGAGGTCGGGGGTGTTGTATTTTTTCGGCTCAAGAGAAAGATTAGACTGACAACGGTCTAAATAGCCCGAACAAATTCAGATCGTCATGCTCACCGTTTCACAGGGGCCCTTTACGCTGCTGCACCGCTAAAAGAAGCTAGCTAGTAGTTGTTGTTGAGCAGACTGAGAACTGGGAGGTTTCCTGGTGGCCTGTCTGTTCCGTGATCAACAAGGGGCAGCAGAACCAAAAGCTTGGTTCAGGTTGCTCGTATTTTTTTAAGTGTTTGTAGTCTGTGCTACTCACTCGTGTATCTCCACTTAGCTTACTGCTAAGAAGCAACTGGAGAAAGAAACCCCGCATGCGCCCACCTCTCTTTTCCCCGCGTGCCCCCACCTTTCTTTTCCCCGCGAATCTTCCATGGCACGCGCGAGCACAATTGCCTCAAACGAAAATTGAAAATTATATTGTGAAATATTGACGATACCTAGAATTATGTTAAGTATCATTAGTTGTCTCTCTTGTAAATGAGTCTTCGAGGCTCAATGGGAATTAACCTGTATAAATAAAGGTTGAATGAATGAATGGCTAGCTCTACCGTTAGCTAACACTGCTTAGACAATATCCATATTTCTGGGAGAAATGCACACCAACATCGCCTGTTAATTTCTAAAAACATTTTGATACCAACCAACTTCATACATTATGATAAAAAAACATACTTACTGGTATATGATAAGATGTTTCCCAAGAGAAGAGCGAAGTCTTAACAAGTGCACTCCAAAATGAGGCTCAGAGCAGCATGCGCGATGTGTGTGAGGTCTGAGCATGCGCGATGTCTTCTTTACCGCGATATGATACGGGATTTTGTAAAGGGATAGTTCAGGTTGCTGAACTAACGCAGCTCTGTCATATTGTATCAAACAAAGACGGTTTTTTAATTATAACAAGTTTAAATTCTAAGTTAAACTTGCTAAAGTGTGTTATGTTTAAAATGGCAATGCAATAATATTAATTAAGTTTAGTATAGGTGTGTTTATTTCATTGAACAATTCACAGAGTTTACTTTTATGAGTGTACTTATGTTTTTAGGGTGTTTGACTTGTATAGTTGAAACAAAATTATTTTAAACAGATAATTCAAGGATTCAAGATTCTTTATTGTCATTTGCATCGCATGTGGTACATGAGGTGGACCGAAATTGTGTACACAGTGTCCCAGTTACATCCAACAAAGTATAAAATGTAAAAGGAAAAACAGTAATAAGATCTAAGAATAACATTAACTAAAAATACACAAAGCACTAGTAGTACAAAAACAATACGCCAAACAGCAGCACGAACATGAGTCTGTGTGAGCAGATGAGCACGAATGAACACGGCACCATGAAACAGATCAGCAGCAGCATGAAATAAATCAGCAGCAACATGATGTGATTTTTCATAGTGATTATCCTGATTAGAGATTCATGAGTTTAACAGCCTCAGGGTAGAAGCTGTTCCTCAGTCTAGTGGTTCTACACTTAATGCTCCTCAACCTCCTGCCTGAGGGGAGTGGGGTAAAAAGTGTGTGTGTGCTGGGTGAGTGGGATCCTTCATGATGCAGGTGGCTCTCTTCCTGCATCTAGATGTCTGTGATGGCGGGGATGAATTTTAAAAGCCTGGTTTTGATCCCTCCCAAATTAAACAATAATTTCCTTTGACAGCGTCTAACTACAGTGGAGTGAAACAGTGTTGTGTTCTTGTTAAGACACTGGTCAGTATATTCTGACATTTTTTGGGAATTTCTTCTCTCTCCTGCTGTCACTTGCATTTGGATCATCTCCTGAACCCACTCCAGAGATGACAGCAAACTTTTAAACTTTACCTAACTTTGGACCAAGACCAAGACAATTTTGTTTTTGATGGAAATGCTTTTTGCAGGTGCTAGTATCCCACGTGGAATCAGAGCTCCAGAAGTTTATGGATTGGCTCTTACATGCTTTCAATGAGTTTGCTCTTATCGTCAGCATTAAAGAAACTGATGTCATGGACCAATATCCAATTCTTCATATACATTAATCACAAGACTCTAAACAATATAAGAACATTAACACATTTTTGCTTGACACTTCACCTGTCCAGTGAAAACCGCCTCCATTGTCACCAGGCTGTGCAAGACTTGACCAGGTGCACAAAGTCCCAAGTCTATCAAGCCTGTGTCATCAGCACTCTACTGTATGGCAGTGAGACTGGAACCATACATACTAGACAAGAAATACAGCTGAATAACTGAATTAATAAATAAATTAAATACAGCTAAATCCCCTACTACATTAAACCCTGGATAAAAGTTTTTTTTTTCCAATTAAAAAAACCCTGAATAACTGAATCACTTACCCTTTAGACACATGCACTTAACAGATCTTTGGCTCTAAATTCAACAAGTTTCATCTTCTCAGAACTTAATGCGAGAGTTACTAAAATCCTATTAATAATGCTGCATCAGTGAGGCGGTTAGAGAATTAGACCTGGTGACCATTTGTAAACTATCATACACTGAGGTTTTTTTTTTTTTCCAAATTGTTGCCAGGAACAATTCTCCAGCAGTTAGATGACTAAGCTTTTGACATTTCCTTTTCCACTGATATAGATATTTGTTTGCCTCTCAGACCAAAGTTTGTGCCTCACAGCTCTAATAGATGTGATCCCTGGTTGGCCAGGCAGCGCGTCTAGTCATGTCTTAGTTTTGAACAGGGGCGATTCTAGGATCTGACCTTTAGGGGTGCTTAGCCCCCAGTACTGACAATGGCTCTTGGCTTGAACAACACAGCCCACGGTGTGGTTTGTGAGAAGTGCAAAACCTTACAGCACCTGGTGTTCCCAGGCGGTTTCCTATCCAAGTGCTAGCCAGGCCCAACCCTCTTAGCTTCCAAGATCAGACGAGATCGGGCGTGTTCAGGAGGGTGGTGTGGCGATAATTAGTCACAAATGGGACTTTTAAAGGATCACAGCAAACAAAGACTAAACTTATGTAACCAGAAGTTGCAACATATATCTACAAACAAAACACACGAAGGAAAGCACAACTCGCTTTAAACATCAACTAATCATACAATGTACAAAGTAATTATGACATAAATGGAGGATTTGTCTACAGTTACCTTTGTACAGATGAACATGTGGTACTTCCTGTTTATATCTGTTGTATTCAGCTGCACATGAGGTCAGCTGCTGGCCTTTATCCATCTTTTACATTTCTCCAGACTCCGTTTAGGTTTTGGAAATGGAATGAACTGTATTCCACCCTCTAAATACTCAGGGCAACTGTCCGAATTACATGTTCTCCACTGACAACGTTTAACCATTTTTTCGAATCATTTTTCACAAAATCCCTCTGATCACAAAGCGTGCGTAATGTAAAACCTCGATAATGTTGTCAGAGGAGAAGGGGGTGCAGCTCCTGCAGGTAAAGGGTGTTTCACTTTAGGATATATTGAGATCACTGATGGGTCAGATGATGGGCCTACTGGATTGATTGATGGCACTGAGGATTCGACTCAGGCAAAAAAAAAAAAAATCATAAGCTTCATTACAAAATCCTAATGATGGTTTCTCAACTTTTCAAGGGCTGAGTTAAAATTTAAGCACCCCTCAAAAAGAGGCTAAAGTCGCCAATGGCTTTTAATGAGAAATTTGATGAAATCTGCCAGGTTGACTTATCCTGTGGTGTCCGAGATGAAGGATCCAAGCTGTTTTTGGTGCTGTTACTCACTCAGTTTGCTGGAAAGCAGTTTATGTAACACCCACGGAGCGGAGGAGTGTGAAGGTGGATGAATGTGCTAAACTTCCTAACTTTCTTTTTGTCTCACCTGTTACCAGTGATCCAAGGAGGACCTCTTGACAACCCGTATAGACTGAAACAGTTTCACTTCCACTGGGGGGAAAAGCGACAGGAGGGCTCCGAGCACACTGTTGCAGGAATTGGCTACGCATCAGAGGTCAGAGTTTTAGATGAAATGCTTGAGTCTGTCAGCGCCTGATAATTACCGTGCTTTTCGGTTTATAAGTCACAGTTTTTTTGCATAATTTTGTATGCCCTGCAACTTTTATGCCAAACAATGTATTTTTGGATTTTTCCCATATTTATAAACCAATTTTTGGCTGAGATATGATCATTTTCATTCATTCTGACTGAAAATATTAAACACTACCATTTTCAGCCACTAGATGGCACTATAGTACGGCATGCGGTTGTATCATTATAGGTAAAAGTGGCTATTAATGACACAAGTGGCTTGCCAGAGCCTGCCACCTTCGTCCAGCTCGTCTGAAGCAACCGTCAAATCAGCTTCATTTCGCTGCGGCGCCCCAATGAAAAGCAGCTAATTTGACCATTGAAGTGCATTTATTAAGTAAAAATTCAACTGAGACACACTTTTACTATAATTTTGAGCAAACAAATAATTGTATTTACGTGGTTATCTTGTTAAATTCTTGTTACAGTTCTCCCGTGCATGCTTCCATGGCCACCATTTAGCAGCCAAACAATTTTTGGCACACCGGCCCACATTTCTGGGTTATCAATGGTGACGCCAAACAAACACGACACGTCAGCGGTGATGCACAATAGATGCAACATATTTATGTATTTTTCCACTTTATTAGACATATTTGGATTAATGTGACTTATAGGGCGGCGCGGCGTGTACGGCGGAAAATACAGTATTCTGGCACAGTACATTGGTGTACCATGGTATCATTTTTCTGTGAAATAAAATGATTTTTGTCTGTTAAAACTAATCCGGTTTATGATTATAGTTATTATATTTGAAATTTACATTTATTTAAAAAAGTATGATCAGTATTTTGTTATTCCTGCTTTTACATAAAAATACACATTTTAGAGGTATAAGGTAGAACATTTGTCTGTATTTTTTTTACATAAATAAATAAAGTCATCAGCTTTTACATTGATGTTTATTTGTCATGCATAGATTATTTTTTTCAAGGCAAAATGTTTCAATTTTTATTCTATCCCTCTCTTTAGCTTCATTTAGTTCACTGGAATGCGGTCAAGTACAGCTCGTTTGGGGACGCAGCAACAGCCCCCGATGGTCTCGCTGTGCTTGGGATCTTTTTACAGGTAGGATGTTTTTTGTTATGCAATCCCATTTTTTACCCTTGTACCTTATTTTTTTTTAGTTGTACTGAGATGTGCACGTTGTCAACTTGGGTGTGAAGCAAAAACAGTCAGACCTTTGTCGCATCTTCACTTAACTCTTTGCAGCACTGGCTGCAAAGATTTTTGTGTATTTTCTGTGTAACATGGCACTCAGATGGCTATATTCATAAATTTGAGTTTTAAGACTCGTAGTTACTTTTAATGACATCAAAATAAAAAAAATTTGAGGGTGAAGGCAATTCCTGAACTGGATTTTAGCTCAGTTTAAGAAAGCCATGCAGTCAGAGAGTGATGCATCTTGATATGACGATCAGGCTCGTGTTTCATGAATATTGAATGATTTACTCCTTTTCTAGTCCATATTTTTATTTATTAATCTTTTTTGAGAACACTGACATATTTCAGATCAATAATGCCAGGATTCAGTGCTGAAAGTATGAAAGAGTGGTTCAGGGAGCACAAGACTTTCAGGATATTCGAGAGATGTTGGTGTAAATTCTGACATGACCTCTCTAAAGCCAGTGTCTCACTGGGCTGCAGCTAATGGGAACTAACTCGAGATGCACAAAAAAAAAAAGGGCAAGACAAAAACAAAAGCAAATTTTCTCTTGGAATGACTGACATGTTTGCAAAAACTCTTGGCCCAATTTGGGTCGACATTTGCCTGGAGTTTGCATACTGTACATATTGCCAAAACGATTACTCTAGATTTCCAGATACTTAATTGAGAAGAGTTCAAGATGGGTTTTACACGCACGACTCTATTTTGAGACAAAATTTCTAAATTGCCTCACTAATTTCTTAAACATGTTCAAAGAGAACAAGGCTCTGCGACTCACAAGGAAACTAAAGACACTCATGAATGTTGAGACATGTTTACCGTTTACCCCTAGAGTTTCCAAAAGCAGAATGGGAGGAAGATCTTTCAGTTATCAGGCTCCTCTCTTGTGGAAATAACTTCCTGTTTCTGTCCGTGAGGCTGACACATTGTCCAGTTTTAAGACTGGGATTAAGATTGTCCTTTTTGATAAATCCTATAGTTAGAGTTGGCTTGTTATGCTGCTATAAGCTTAGACTAGTGGAGGACAAAATGACCTAATTTCCTTAAATGAATTGTTAAAATTGAATTACTATCTTAACATGTGATTTTTGACCTGCCATTGTGTATCTGTTCCTCTCAAACCCAGCCGGTCGTAGCAGATGGCCGCTTGTCCTGAGCCTGGTTCTGCTAAAGTTTCTTCCTCATGTGGGAGTTTTTCTTTTCCACTGTCGCCTTCATGTTCGCTCAAGATGAGAGTTCTGTGATGGAGTTAAACTCAAAGCAGTCTGCTCCTCAGATAAATAGTGTTAACTTATAATTTTTATACTGTTTATGGATGTTTCTGTTCAGTGCACTGAGATGACTTCGGTTGTGACTTGGCGTTATATAAATAAACGGAATTGAATTGAATGTTGAGACATGTTAAAACATTTCTTGTGAAGTTCAAAGTTTGTTGCTGACAGTCACAGCCCTGTGAGATACTATCCTAAAACAGTTCTTAAAAAAAAACAAGAGGTTAAAGTCTTATGATCTTGGAAACACAAAATCACACAGCTGTGAAATAAAATGAATGTGGCATTACATTAAATACTTTATTTATAAAGCCCTTTAAAACAGCCACAGCTGCCACAAAGTGATGTACACATAAAATCAAGAACATTTAAACACTTAAAACAGTTGTTAAAACATTAAGATCAATAATAATAAAAAAAAAAAAACAGAACCACAAAGAATGAACAATAAATTTAAAGACAGTTCAATAAACATGACAAATAGGATTAAAACAGTTTGTCCTGTAAGACAGGTGACGACCATCGATGGCTTCATCTGCTGACCGACGCTCTGTTCATGGTGAAGTTTAAGGTGCGTTCTGGATTTTATTACATACAGAATACATACGCTGTTGTATTAAAGCTGCTTTTTCTAACAGGGCAGCGTCACAGATTTCAAAGGTTTCAACCCTAAGTGCCTCCTGCCCAGCAGCCTCCACTACTGGACCTACCTGGGATCGTTGACCACGCCCCCCTTACACGAGAGCGTCACCTGGATCCTCCTAAAGGAGCCAATCGTCGTTTCAGAAAAACAGGTGAGATTCACAGGCTCGAACATAAAACACGAGATATTTCCAGCAGGAAGTGACACAGCTGTTGTTTTGGTTGCACCATAAAATCACGTTAAAATGACCGTTTAGTAGTTTAGTCCGTTGAGTGAATGACGACTAACGGAATCCTTTTTTTTTTTTTTTTAATCAGAGAAAAGTCAAACGGGGAGGACTTTTTAGTTTTGTCATCTGAAAAATTTGTGCTTGGGGGAGTGGTGGCACAGAAGTTATGGGCCCACTGTGATCAGAAGGTTGCTGGTTCAATTCCTCGTACCAACAACATCAAAATGTGGGTGGGAAAGATGAAACACCCACACCTGCCTCCACCCTCATTTGTCCCAATCTGGGCCCTTGAGCAAGGCCCTTAACCCCCACCATCTGCTCCCATGGGCACCCTATGGCAGCTCTCTGCTCCACACAGAGGGCTGCGGTAGCTCGGTGGTCTGCGGTTGTGTCAGGAAGAACATCCGGCGTAAAAACAATCGTGCGAGTTACTTCCCTGTGGCGACCCCTGAAGAAGGGAGCAGCTGAAAGAAGAACTAAATCTAAAAATTAGTTCTTACTTTTGTTTAGGTGTGAAACCTTGATCATATTTTGTTGTCTGGAAGTCATGTGGCACATGAAACAGACACCAACTGTCTTGGGGGGTGGGACCTCTCTGTTTCATGTCAGCAGTGGAGCAATGGACATGAAAATCTCTCAAAGCAAAATGCTGAGATGAAAAACTTTAGTCATTTAAAAAAAAAACAATTTCCTGACTGTTTTTTGTGTTGTCATTGAAAGTTTAATGGTTCGTCTCTGACTTGAATCTTTCCTGCAACTCAATCTGAGCAGCGTGTCTCTTATCGAGCCAAGGCATTTGTATACTCAAATGTACCAAACACAACATGACTGCTGTTTCAAGGATTAAAAAAAACCTTCTCAAAGAGTCGGTAAACCTGCCTGAGACTTTCCGCCTTGTTCCCACTGATGCATGTCGTTATGCATTGGGACTATTTTTTAGTGATTCAAAAATAAGAACAATATTTAACATCGAATTCTTTGCATTGTATAAGTTTTTCATAACCTTGATGACACTGTGCTGTATTGTCCAGAATCAGTTAATCTGTAAAACAAACTTAAAATGTGTTTTGATGAAAATAATCTGTCCTTGAACCTAAACAAAACAAAAATAATGTTATTTGGGAACTGTCGATCACATACGGAGATTCAAATACAAATACATGGAGTGAATATGGAAAGAGTTCATGAAAACTAATTTCTTGGTGTCGTTATTGATGATAAACTCAACTGGAAACCACACGTCCGATATGTTCAAAGTAAAATCTCAAGAAATATCGCCCTTTTAAACGAAGCCAAGTCAGTCATGGAACAAAAAGCATCACATGTAATCTGCTGTTCGTTAATCTTACCTTATTCAAGTTGTGCAGAAATCTGGGGTAATAATTACAGAACTACACTACAGGCATTAACAAAACTACAAAACAAGCAATAATCCATAAAGTGTAATATCTAGAAAGCACTAATACACTATTTGTAAAATCTAAATTATTAAAGTTCAGTAGTAAAGTAGTGACAGCTCTAATTCTTTACAAAGCAAAAAACAATTAATTACCGGAAAACATTCAAAAACCTGTTTAAGACTAAGGAGCAAATTTATACGTTAAGGGGGAATCACAATTTAAAATGTGCAAATTCAGAACTACTAGAAAAAACTTTTGTGTTTCAGGAAGTGGAGTCATAATTTGAATATTGAACTTAGACAATGTCCAAACTATAAACTGCTCGAATCATCATATAAACATATTTTTATCGTTGGATATAATATATAATATTATTATTCAATTATTGTTGATGCTAGTTTGTTTTTTGGGGTGAAGTTAAATAAATAACAATTGTTTATCTACTCTAGTTAACTTCAATATATTGAAGGGTTAAATATGGGTTTAGTTGTTATGTACGGATTATACATGTAATAAATGTAAGATTATGTAAGTTGTTAAGGAGTGGGAATTTTTGATAAGTTTATACTTCTACCCTTGAAAATGTAAAACAAATTTTTTTTTGACATTATGCTTCATGCTGTATTATTTTTTTTTTTTACATATTCAAAAAAACAAAACAAACTTAAAAATAATATTTGTACTAAACAAGTGTTTGTTTCGTGCACAGATGTGGACTGCAGTTTCTTCTGGGATTATATTCTTGCAGTCATACTGTTTACTATCAGCTTGAACTCAGATGTTTATTTATGTAATTAATTAATTGTTTGGCTCTATTTTTATTAACATTTTTAGTCCATTTTGAAAGCGAGGGAGTATTCAAATACATGTATTTTTGATTTTGGTGTTATCACGGGATAAGATGGATAGCGATGATAGATGTATACTTTATTGTCCCCAATGGGAAATTTGACTCGGACACCATGCGCTAAACAGATTAAACAATTAAATACACAACAACATTAAAAGTCATGTGAACACAATAAAAACAACAACACATATTGCTCAATAAAAGCACATATTGCACATTCCCACATACAATCCAGCAAGTAAACGAAACAATAAATCAGGCCAGAGCATCAGCAGCATGACAAAAGACTATATGCCTACTTTATTTAACAATCTGATGTAGGGACAAATTAATTTTAAATCTGTTAAGTCTACAAGCAGGGATAAAGCGACACACTCTTTGACATGCTTAAGGAAAATTAACCCGTTTTACGAAAATAAACCTAATCTTTGTAAAGATGCATCTTTGTCTCTGTGTCCCGCTGCAGCTGGGAATGTTCAGAATGCTGCTGTTCAACGGAGAGGAGGAAGATGAGCGGAGGCGCATGGAGAACAACTTCAGGCCTCCTCAGCCTCTCAGAGGCAGGGCGGTGCGCTCCTCCAATTAGCCACTTCAGCTCATAATAAGTTAGTAACCACCGTGGTAGTTTGTCCTGTAGACATCTGGTCTGTTTTGGATAGAAGGGGAAGAGCAACGAGCAACTGCTTAAGCAAATTCAAAAAAAGGGACTTTGTGGAGATGATAATGGCATGGGAGCCAAATAATTTGAAAATGAAACCTTTTTAATTAAACTTTGATCATGAAAACAAGCTAAACGTTTATATAGGAACTTGCAACGAGCCGTGTCCGTTTGTGAAAGGCTGTTTTCACCATCGCTGTGAACCACAGAGCACCAATCTTCTCCCTGAGCCTGTATCTGTTGATCGAGCCGTCGGACGGTGAATTCTCCCTCCGGTCGGACGATTTTATCCGAACCGTTCCATCGTGCAATACACAAGACAAGAATGTTTGAGGCCTTCAGGGTTAAAGAGATTTTTAAACTGTTTTAACAAGGTGATTAATCTGAATTTGTTTAATTGTGACAGTCAGAATGAAACCACAATGTATTGATCAATTTCATAATATCTGAAATGTCACATCTGTTTGTTTCTTTGCAGATTTTAATGACTGAATATGCAACAATATTAACGTCTAACTTACTGTTCAGCTTTAGATGTTAATGTCTGACAGAGGACTTTGCGTAAATTGTGATAGCTCTGTGTAATTCTGGGACCCTCAATTGATGCTGTGCGAGATTATGTAGAGAAAAGGGGAATTTATGAATGGTTTTAATAGTTTTGTAAAGCATGTTTTTGTAATTTTGTCATGTTTGACAGATGGAATAAAATTGAAGTAACTTTTGAAAGTTGCCATTTGATCCGCATCCTACCAGGACTCAACAGATCCAGGAACAAAACCTATTAATTTATAAAAAAAAATATACTTTTAATCTAATGTTTTACATTCTCAGTTTTACGTCTGAGCTACAAAGTCCTTCTTGAAACCTTTAAATTTTGAAAAGGTTTACCTGGTCTCAGAACTGTCTTTAAATACCGTATTTTCCGGCCTATAAGTCACACCTTTTTGCCTAATTTGCATACCCTGCGACTTATATGCTGAAGCGACTTATGTATGGATTTTTCCCATATTTAATGACCCAATTTTTGACTGAAATATGACCATTTTCATTCATTCTGACAGCAAAAAGGTTAAATAGTTATCTGGACCAGTTTTTTGAAAATAATGAACACTACCATTTTCAGCCGCTAGATGGCATTCGAGTAGTGTGGCATGCCGTTGTGTCATGTAATAGGTAAAAGTGGATATTAATTACACAATTGGCTTGCCATAGTTGGCACATTCATCCAACTCCAGGATCATGCCTGGAGCAACCGTCAAATCAGCTTCATTTCACTGCGCTGCCCCGGCGAAATGCAGCATTTTGACCATCAAAGTGCATTTATTAAGTAAAAGTTAAACTAAGATACACCTTTACTGTAATTTTGAGCAAACAAATTAATTCAACCTTTATTTAGACAGGTAAATCCCATTGAGCCTCGAGGACTCATTTACAAGAGAGACCTGATTTCAACAAAGAATGACGAAAAACAATGGACGACAGCGACAACAATAGACAGTTATAAAAAGGCATACAGATTTTTTTTCAACAAATAGGATGGCTAAAAAAAAAAAAAGTAACAAAATACAGCTAGATTCTAAGGCGAATGTAGAAAACTAAAAACAGGAACATGTCTGCATCGGTCCCTGCCAGGAGTCCAACAGATGCTTCAAGCCTCTTAGAGAGGTCAAGGTCAAGAGCTTCAAATCTTTTTGTAAGATATTCCAGGAAACAGGAGCGGAGTAGGAGAAGACCCTTTTGCCAAGTTCAGTCTGCACTTAGGGAACACTGCAGGTAATAATGTCCTGAGAGTGCATACTGTAGCTGCACTCACACAGAGACATGTAGGAGGAGATGTATGAAGGCAGCAGACCAAGAAGTGATTTAAAGATGAAAATGTACCAGTGAGAGAGTCTGCGTGAAGTTAATGATGTCCAGTTAACCAGTGAATACAGGGTGCAATGGTGGGTACGATAATCACAGCCAGTTATGAATCTTAGTGCACCATGATAGACAGCATCCAACATCTGCAGGGTTCTTGTAGGAGCGTTCATGTAAATAATGTCACCGTAATCAATGGAGGGAAGGAAGGTCACAGATACAAGGTGTTTCCCAGCATTCAGAGTTAGACAGGATCTGTTTCTGAAAAAGAAACCCAGTTTAACTTTCAGTTTCTTTACTCGGTTTTCCACATGGAGTTTAAAAGAGAGATGCGAGTCGACCAAGATACCGAAATATTTGTAGGAATCAACAAACTCAATTGGGACACCATTTGAGGATGAAATCAGAGGAAGAACTGCTGGAACTGACTTCCTGTTTGAAAACAGCATCCCTTTGGTTTTGTCAGCATTTAGGGCAAGTTTGAGGTGGAACAAATCAGTCTGGATGATGTCAAATGCAGATTTCAAAAGCTGGAAAGCCTTATCAACAGTTTTAGCTCGACAATAAACAACTGTATCATCAGCATAGAAATGTAAGGATGCATCAGGGATGTTTTTACCTACATTACATATGCAGATTGTAAAGAGGGTGGTTCCTAAGACTGAGCCTTGTGGTACACCGTTGTTGACTGTTAAATAACTGGAGGAAGCACCATTATGTTGAACACATTGCATCTGATCTGGAAGATAGTTAGAGAAATAATTAATTGTTTTTAGGCGGTTAACTTGTTAAATTTCAAAGAAATGCACAGTGAGTTGTCCCTCTGCTCTCCTGCTTCTGCAAATCGGCTTTTGAAATGCAACTTATTTGACTGTTAAAGTGCATTCATAAATGAAAAGTTCAACTGAGACACACCTTTATAATTTCGAGTAAACAAATAGTTGTTTTTAAGGGTTAATCTACTTTGTAATTACATTCTTGTCAAAGTCCTCCCGTGCACGCTCCCGTGGCCACCATTTGGTAGCCAAGTGATTTTTAGCACAACACCGGCCCACATTTCCTTGTTGTCAGCGATGACGCGTAAAAAAACGCGATGCGTCACCGGTAACGCATAATATATGCGACGCATTTGGCGAAGCAACTTATTTATGGATTTTTCCAGATTATGAGACAAATTTGGACTGATGCGACTTATAGGCCAGAAAATACGGTAGTTTATTTTATTTTGTAGCAGGACCCATGTCTTGCAAATGTTTAAACACACATACTGTATAATCAGAAGAGGTGATCTTGGGTTCTGGGTAATTAGTAGCCAGGTATAAACGCTATAGATTACAGGGCAAAGAGAGGGAACATGAGGTCTGATCAATTATTTACCAACAGGGTAAGTTTGGTTCCTTAAAATGTTTAAAAGATCGTCTTTAGTCATTTCTGAACGTTTCAGCTTTAAAGAACAATTTAAGAAGGATGCTGCATCCACACATTTAAAAAAGACAAAACAAGACACTTTTGTTAAAGCTCTGATATTTAAAATATGTAAAATGGTTCTCATGTCCCTCTAACCTGCCGGCTGTGCACGCCTGCCTGTTCGTGCCAGCAGCAGATCAATCTGCCATTAGACACGAGAATGAACACATTGTATATTATTATATATTATTAAATCAGACAGGTGTCAGGATGAAACATGTTCAGTCATCATCACAGTGAAGGGAAAGAGTGCACAATATATATAGTTGTGCATAATTAACATTGTGTATGTGCATATAGGGTGTATAGTTAGTTAATTATGGTGCAAATATAGAATAAAACATACTTGTTTAACATTTAACACATCTGTTATAAACATACTGACATTTGAATTTGATTTGTATAAGGCCATTGCATCTTAGCAAACATAGTGAGACTTTAAATCACAATTGTCTGTAAAACTTTACATTTTTTTTAGTTTTAAATTAACTTTTATAAAACTGGGCCAAGAATCTACAGCGTAAGATTTGGTTTCCCACCAGAAAATGTATATAAAAATGTTCACAGATAGAGAGGGGAGTTTAAAAAACATTAAATATGGACAACAGAAGCATGCGCTCAGCAGTCTGGCCTGTGAATTAGTGGAATTAGAGATTTAGAATAGATGCAACAATAAAAATACAGAGCTGTATAATAAAAAAATATGTGGTGGTAAATAGGTGAACTGTAATTATGGCAGTGAGTGGATATTTGGGTGGTGCATTGTGGGGTGATACAATGGCTGCACCATACACCAAACATGGATAATTGTATTTAATATGTATTAAAACAAAGGTGGGAATTAATGTGTTGACTCCTTTTGAAATTGCAATCTAAGGAGTTTAGTTCGTTAAAAAAAAACCATGTTTAAAAATAAAATTATTTTTGCCTTTTTTTTTTTTTTTTTTGTATAAATGTTGAAGAAACCTGAATAGATTTTTCAAGTTGGAGCCAAAAAATGAAAGAAACTTATTTTTTATAATTTATTTTGTTATCCTCAGTATGTGATTACAACTGTTCTCCAGCAGGGGGCAGAACAGAACCAGTTTAGACACTGTGTTGACTTTTTGTGCAGTTTTTGATATTTGTTGAACTAAACTCATCAAATGATGGTAAACAATTGAGTAATCAAGGTTAATTAAGAAAACTGACATCTCCCTTAAAAACTATTATTCCTAATTGTTTAAAATAGAATATGTGAGTAATATGTGCTCATTTATTGGGTGTAAAATGGACATTTGAACTAAAAGAATTGAAAAATATATATATAAAGATGTTCAAAAAAATTTAATGAAGAGGAGTCTAATGTGATTAATCAAAATCTGAAATAAATATTTATTATGAAGTTTTTGTGAATGTGGATGTAAATATTATATTTATACATTCATGTGTGTTTGGGTGCACATCTCTTAGATAATATTTATATTTTCTTGCATACAGTTAAATCTGCAACTGAAGAATTGCAAATATTTGACTGGAGAGGGGCTGGATCATAATTACATTTAATCCTATTCTTTGATGAAGTAATTTTCCATTCATGTATGTTTTTGACAGAATTATTTTATATTAATGTAATTTTATCTTCATTCTTTAGATCCTAAATTGAGTTAAACCTCCTGTAGTATTTACTGCATTGCATGTAAAACAACTTTAATTTATGTTTATCAGACAGGAGTGTTGGGATAAATAAGTAACAGTTAATTAGAGCCAATATGCAAAAAACAAAGGTCACAGAGTTATTAGAGAATGGCTGACCACAGCACAAACACCAGGAAGCTAAAGTAAAACCTGATTTTTCTGGATGTCAGTCAGGAACAGTCGACCTTGTCTTTATCCGCCCTCTCAGCTCGTGTCTCGTTCAGGAGGTTAAATTACCTCGAATGGCTTTTTTCAGTTTGATGACTGACACTGATGTTGAAATACATAAATAAATTCAGCCTAATGAATAAGCAATGAAGCGTGTGTGGAGTATATTTACAAATCATCTCTA